TTGCTGAGCCCCTTCATTGCCTTTACCACTTGGTTCTCTATCTGAATTCTTTTTTTTTTCATATCACCCCTATCTTCAACTCTTTGACATTCAAGTTCTTCACCATTCCCATTATTTCCATTCCTTGGTCCTGGGATATTCCTTTTTGCACCTTTCTCTTCCTGCCTGTAATTTGCTGTGTACATTTGGGATGTACCTGCACCTGGATCTGGCACTGGAGGATATGGCTTAGGGGGTTACAGCACTAACAGGTTAATAGTTGGACTCGATGATCTTAGAGGTCTCCTCCAACCTTGATGATTCTATGTTCTCCTGTCTCTGTATTTATTTGAAGTTGTCAAAACATCTACTCCATTGGTTCTTTCTGAAAGCTGCTGCCTTTGTCCACCTATTTTTCCTTGTTAGATTGTTTATTAGCAATTAAAATCTTTGCACTTCTGAAGTTGTTTATATGAAGATCACAAACACTTGAAGATCTCACTCTGCCCTGGATCCAGCTGGGGCTAAACCTCAAACACAATCTCCTAAATATGATACATAATATGGTACTGTGTAGGTGTTAGATATTTCCATGGAGTTTATGGGAAATTGGATAATGGAAGAGCACCCCGAAGTGGCTTTTAGTCCTAGAGCCCTAAAATTCCCTCTCTGCAGGAGCTACACACAAAAAGAAACGTGAGAGTTGAAGAGTTAATTTCACATGTTCAATGTCTGTAAGAACAAACATCTGAGTGCAGAACTAGTAAGTTTTGCTGATTTTTTTTGTTTGAGGCTCCTTGCTTGTGTTGATTTTTGTTTCCAATTAGGTGATTGCCCAGTGCTTGGACATCATGGAACAGCAGAAGTACCAGGCTGTGACTCCATGTCAGCATCCCATCATCAGGATGTGACTGCAGCCACTCCCAACCCCCAGAGTCAGCAAGAAATCTCAGTGCAAATCATCACCTAATTCTTTGATACCGCTAATAAAAACTCTGAACAACTGCAGACAAAGAACCTTGGATTTTAACTCTATTAGCAGCAAGGTTTTATTTCCAACCAACTCTATATCAGCTGAAGATTCATTTTGAGAAAAGGAAGGTTAAGGGGAGCAGCTGGAAGACTCTAAGGAAGCAAAGTCAGCCCAGGGGGGAACACTTGCTTGAATTTTTCATGTTCATGTTTTAGCATAAAATCCAGACATCAAGAAAATGCACTTTGCAGAAGAAAGGGAAAAGAGCAAACACACAAGGGAGTGTGTGCAGTTTGCAGCCAAACTCTGCCTGTCACCCAGCCCTGATTCCCAAAGCAGCTGTGGAAAGGCTCCACTTGGATTGCCCTAACCAGAAGGGGATTTAAATCCATAATACTTCTGTATAGGCTAAAAGTTCTCAAGCATGTAACAGAGCACAGAGACTGTTGGATCTAATGTTACAAGTGTTGAGGTCGCACTCTGCTCCTTCATTTGTCTCCCACTCTGCCACAGATACAAATTTTAAACCTGTAAAACCAAACCCTTCCCATCACCACACCAAACTTGTGTTTTAGCTGGAAATTATGCCAACGGTTGTATTGAAAAAGACTTGGTTAAGCACTTTGAGGAATCATCAGCAAAACTGAAATGCTCAATGTGAATTAAGCAACCACACAAATGGAAAGGAATGTGGAAGGAGTTTGGGTCACTGGAGTGCGTGTAAATGGAGACTGCACCTGTTGAGAGCTGGAGGAGACCCATGGGAGGTGGTGCAGGTCATGCTCTCTTGAAGAGTCCATGGAAAGTGACAGGGATGTTCACCTCCACCTCGGCCCTGGCCACCTCGCTCATGTCCTTGGCGCTGAGGATGAGGAGGTAGGCAGGCTTGGGGCCTGTGCCTGGGCTGATCACAATGCTCAGCACAACCCCTATGAGGTGAGAAAACAACAGGCATGTCTCAGCTGTGTCTGTCCCTGGGGCTGGGCATGGTGAGGGCAGCACCTTGCACTCAGGATACCATAAATCCTGTTCCTGTGGGATCATCAGTGCTGAGGGAGACAGGGAGTGACACTGGCACAGGTTTCCCAGAGAAGCTGTGGCTGTCCCATCCCTGGAAGTGTTCCTGGCCAGGCTGGATGGGGCGTGGAGCAACATGGGCTGGTGGAAGGTGTCCTTGCCCATGGAATGAGATGAGCTTGAAGGTCCCTCCCAACCCAACCCATCCCATGATTTCCCATACTATTTTGGGTTCTTGCTGTGGCACAGCATCTCCCATAGTTTCTTTTTCAAACTGTGAGATTGGGGGAAAAAAGGCTAGAGAATGAAGACAACTCATCTGAACCAAGAGGTCTTTCCCCTCTGTTTTCATTAATTCTCCTCAGAGGCTTCCTGCCAGTGATAGCACCAAGCACAACTTCCCTGGGAGATGCCTGTGCCTCTGCCCCTGCCCAGCTCTGGCACAGCCCCGCTGTCAGCCTGGTGCCAGCTGACAGACCTTCCTAATCCCAATTCCATTGACTCAAACCCCATCAAGCCTTACCATCATCTTCCTCCAAAGCATCTGGATGGGACACAAAAATGGGCTCCGAGGGGTAGGAATCCGGCTCCTGCCACACCCATGTCTCCTTGGTCTTAACATTCAGCTTGCAAAGCTAAAGGTGGGGAAAACCCAAATACCCACACTTCAGAAACACTCCTTGGTGCCCTCACGCTGGAACCATCACCCTTTGGCTGATAGTTACCCTGTCTGGCACAAAGTGGTTCAGCCCCAGCCCATAGGTGTACGTGTAAGGCTTCCCACCATACTTCCTGTAGTTGATCTGTGGGAATTCAAAGGCTACGATAAAAAAAAGATAGATAAATACCTGAGGAGTGGTGGGACACAGCCTGCAGGTACTGGTGGTGCTGGGATTTGGGGCTGTATCATACCATGCCGTGGCCCTGAGAAGATCACTTCAGGCTCCAGCCAGATGGTCTCGTCGCTGTGCAGCGTCGCTGTGGCCGTTGTGTAGGGCAGCGTGACCAGGTTCTTCCCCGTGTCAGCCTGGGGCAAAGACACACACCCAAGAGCTTGAAGAAACAAATTCCTGAGCCTATTTGCACAGACCTGTTGCAAATAGAATCACACGGGGCTGGCAGAGCTATGGCAGAGCCTCAGGGAGCTGCAGGAACACAACCAGTGACAGTACTGGGAAGTAGCGCAACAAGTGTCCTGTTTCCCAGCTGTCACTGCTTGTAAACACAACCTTTTCTCCCTCCAAGGCACTCAGAGGTCTTCATTACGCACTGCCAAGTGGGCTTGCACTTCTCATTCCATCAGCAGCCCAGTGAGTGGCTCAGCTGACTGGCAGCACCACCAGCCCTTAACCCACCCAGCAGTGAGCACCACTGGGGTTGCTGGAGTGAAACCCAGCAGCTGCCAGGCAGTGAGCTCTGTGCCAGGCTGGCTGCTGTAGAGACCTCACACCAAGGGCTAGAGGCTTTAACCACCTGTACTCAGGCTGTGGCTGCTCCCTTCTTGCATGAAATTACTGACTTTAATGCAGACGGAAGTTTTCCTTTGGTTTGTGAGGTGGTCTAGAATTCATGCAGAATATATAGAGAGAATTGTGCTGTATATATAGAGAGAGCATGTTCACAGAAGGGAATGGTGCTGGGGAAGGGTCTGCAGCACAAGGAGCAGCTGAGGGAGTTGTGGGGGCTCAGCCTGGAGAAAAGGAGGCTCAGGGGGAACCTCTGGCTCCATACAACTCCCTGACAAAAGGTGCAGCCAGGTGGGGTCAGGCTCTGCTCCCAGGGAGCAAGTGACAGGGCAAGAGGAAAAGCCTCAGGCTGTGCCAAGGGAGGTTCAGGTTGCATATCAGGAGGGACTTTTCCATGGAAAGGATTGTCAGGCATTGGAAGGAGCTGCCCAGGGAGGCAGTGGAGTCACCATCCCTGGCAGTGTTCAAGGAACAACTTAGTGCTCTGGTCTAGTTGGCAAGGTGGTGATTGGTCATAAATTGGACTTGATGATTCCAGAGGTCTCTATTCAAACCTAATTGATACTGTGACTCTCTGCTCCAAGCAGCAGCACCTGTCTGGTGCCCCACAGTCCTTGCCATGAAAAAGTATGGAATCAAGGGGTTTGGGTTGGGAGGAGCTTTAAGGCTTATCTTGTCCCACCCTCTGCTATAGGCAGGGACACCTTCCAGTAGCCCAGGTTGCTCCAAGCCCCTTCCAACCTGGCCTGGAACACCATCAAAGATGAGGCAGCCACAACCTCTCTCGGCAACCATATGGGAAGTAAACTAGAATAACACTAATTACCTAAAGAAAGTTTCTCTGCAGACACATACTTGAAGTCCTCCCCAACTTACAAGATTTAATTTGTATTAATTAATGCATGGGGTGAGGCAGAACAGCATGCTGGGCCCCAAGCTGTTACCTTGTCGATGCTGAGGGGCAGCACATATCTGCGTGCCTCGGGCTGAGGGGCCTTCTCTGCCTGCCGCTTCACCTCGTCCCAGTTGGCCCTCAAGTTGGCCAAGTAGAGGTAATTGTAGACAAACTCAAACCTGCAGAAAAACAGCAGCACAGAAAGAAACAGAAATAGGGTTTGGGGGGTGAAGGGCAGATGGTTTTCCCTTAAAATTCAATACAATCCCAGAATGGTTTGGGTTGGAGGGACCTGAAAGTTCATCTTGTTCTGCCCTCCTGCCATAGGCAGGGACACCTTCCACTAGCCCAGGTTGCTCCGAGCCCCATCCAACCTGGCCTGGAACATTCCCAGGGATGAGGCAGCCACAGCTGCTCTGGGAAAAGAGAGTAGAATCATCAAGGTTGGAGGAGACCTGTAAGATCATCAAGTCCAACCATTAACCTGTCACTGCTGTAGCAACATGAGTCCCAGTTCAGGCCTTGGCAGAGCTGAGCTGTGTGCACAACACATCTCTTGTGAGGAGAACCAGCAACTGCTGGTGTCACCCCAAGCACAGGATGGGGCTCAGAGCAACCTGGGCTAGTGGAAGGTGTCCCTGCTTATGGCTGGAGATGGAAATAAATGAACTTTGAGGTCTTTCCAACCCAAACCAGCCTGGGATTCTGTGATTCTGTGCTAGGATTGGCTCCGCTCAGGATGTCCTGGGCACACAGCCAACATGGGATTGGGCTTCAGTCCCATATTTCTCTGTGTTTACACGAAGAACAGCACTCAAACCTCACCCAGACCCTGCTCACTGCAGCTCCAGCAGCTCAAATAGCATCAGCCCTTCAGCAGGCACTAACATTTATTAAAGGCAAATTATAAAGATAAAGGTAAATAAAAGATAAAAATAACATTTTTTCATGGCAAATGAATGTCAAACAGGCTCCCTGCACGTCTGGATAATTCCATGCTGTGTAGTCTATGTGTCACCATGTGTTTATGTTTAGATGGGTTGGTGTGAGTGCAATTCCAATGGGAAGGGATGTGCCAACACAGGGACTGGTGTGTCCAGTGCTGGGGCTCTGCTGACCCCATCAGCTCGTGCAGGGGCAGGTGTGATGCCACAAGGATCCTCACCCCTTCCAGGTGCAGAGGTCAACGATGAGGAACCCATTGTCCTCATAGGTATTGATGTGGTGGAAGAGGTTGAAGGCTGAGGTGCGGTACTTGAGGTTGAGCAGTCTCCCCTTCTTCTTCTCTGCCACGTGAAGCCACACCTGAAAACCAAGCAGCAGCTCAGAGAAATGAAGGTCAAACCAGTACCATGGACCTCACGGTCCAGGTCTGACTGTCCAGTCCAGCCCAGTTTGGTACAACCCACTGCTTACCCCCATGGTTTCATTGGACTCAAAGCAGTCCATATAGTTGGCTCCCCAAAGGCTCCAGGAGGAAAGAAACTTGAGAAGGTTGATTTTCACAGGTGTTTCCACAAAAACAATGTAGTTTGGAGTCAGCCCAAAGCTGTTTGGGAACACAGGGGAGGACATCAACCTCACTGGGGTGAGTTTGGACAAAATCCACACAGCCATTTGTCTTTAGCACTGAATATAGCACATGGATCATTGCTTAAAATGCCTCTGATTTTAGTAAATCACCTGATTTTCACTGCTGATTACATGTGAGAACAAGTCCCTGGTTCCAGCCCACCTGCTGATCCCACAGAGCATTACCTGTGGACGTAGGAGGGCTTAAACCTGTCGCTGCAGGGGAACTGCACCACCACCTCTGACTTGTTCATTGGGTCTTCCTTGTCTGGAACAGGCAGTTGAGGGTTACAGAGGGTCTCACTTAGTGAGACCTTACTGAGGTTTTAGAGAGTCTCACTTTGTGGGACACTTAGTCTGTACTTAGAGCCTGCCTTTAACACATAAGAAATTCATGGTTGAGAAACCACTTGGAAGTCTCTTAAAGGCAACATTTAAAAAGCAAATAAAACCTAATGAGCTTAAAAAGAAAAGTAACTCAATGACAAAACTCATTTAAAGAAATGATTTCTAAGCCCAGACTGTCCCAGGGGTCTCGGGGGGGGGGGGTTGAGCTGACCTGCCTGCAGAGGAGGAATCCTGATGATGTTGTAGGCAAGGGCGAAGTTCTTCCCGAAGCAGTTGCCAATGTTGTACACTGTGCCATCATTCTCAACGTGGGGGTGAGCTGTGGCCCCATTCACAGACACGTATTTACAGAGATCCACCTGGAGAATGACACGGAGACAGTCAGGAGCTGCCTCGGAAGGAGATGGGAAGTCATGAGCTCTGCAACTTGTCATGAGTTAATATGCCCTTGCTTCAGACATGGGCAGTTCTTTCCTAAAGCTGCAATTGAGCTCTGATTAGCAAACTCCAACCCAAGCATGAAGATACTCCAAGGCTGGAGCATCTCTACTCTGGAGATACGCTGAGGAAGCTGGGGGTGTTCAGCCTGGAACAGAGAAGGCTCCAGGGAGACCTTAGAGCCCCTTCCAATGTCTAAAGGGGCTCCAAGAGACCTGCAGAGGGACTTGGGACAAGGGCATGGAGTGACAGTTTAAAGAGGAATGGCTTCCCACTGCCAGAGGGCAGGGACAGATGGGATATTGGGAAGGAATTGTTCCCTGTGAGGGTGCTGAGGCACTGGCACAGGTTGCCCAGAGCAGCTCCATCCCTGGGAGTGTTCCAGGCCAGGTTGAATGGGGCTTGGAGCAACCTGTTCTGGTGGGAGGTGTCCCTGTCCATGGCAGGGGTGGCATGAGATGAGCTTTAAAATCCCTCCTAACCCAAATCATTCCAGAATTCCATGGTTTTCATTTTAGTTTCACTCCTCCACATCTTTAGCATTGCAGGACCAAGACCCACCTGCTTTATTGTCTCCAGGGTGTCTGGGTTAATTCTGGTGATAAAGTTGGTCTCAGTACATGCATAGTAGTCCTCACCAACAGGGTAGACATTGACAAGGGCATTATCAGTGACCTCCACACCTTTGAAGTATGAGAAGAACCTGAACAAAGAAATGTGACAGGTGGTCAGGGGCTTCTGGGAAGTGGAAGCTCCATAGGACATCACTGCCATTGCTGCAAGGCTCCAAGGTACCTGGAGAAGATGTTCTTGCAGGGGTCTGGGTAGGCATAGGTGCCAAATTCTGTGATCACAATCCTCTTCTCTGTCATCGCTCGCACGTAAGCGTCAGTCCTGACAAACCTGGAGGGACAGGACCAGAAGGGTTGTGATAGCTGAAACCACAACAGGCTGTGCAATGAAACAGGAGTATTCCTGCAATGAGCCTCTGGGAGCTGCAGGTCCCCACAGCCTCGTGTTGTATCTAGAGCTGGTTTTAGTGGTATCACTCTTAGAGCACTTCCAACAACCATATGGACTCGAAATAACCAGCATCTCCCTCATGCTGGGCAGCAGTCTCCCCCCAGCACTTCCAGGCAAGCAAATACTTCCTTATTTATTGTTTTTCCTTGGAAAATCACCAGTACCTTCGGTGGTAGGTGACATGCCCCTCCTTGAAGTCGAACTTGTGGAGCAGTGCCTGCCCATCGAAGAGGTGGTAGAAGGGCTCTGTGCCCACCTCGAACAAGCCAGGGCCACATCTCAGGAGGCTTCCTCGCAGCCAGGTGGGAATCCTGCCTGTGGGAGAAACAATGTTGGGATACACACTCAAATCATACCAAGGAATTGTTAATGTGACAAAAAAAGAACAAAACTTCACACTAATTTTCTTTTAATGTTTATTAAACTTAGTGATAAACACATATAAGCTCTTTAAACTCTGCTGTTTTCTTCCCCTCCACACCTACTGGAGATCAAGACATTCAGTATTGAAATGTCTAAAGTTCCCCCATTCAATCTGACCTTAGAATAGAATCATAGAATCATCAAGGTTGGAAGAGAACTCTAAGATCATCAAGTCCAGCCATTAACCATCAAGTCCAGTGGCTTCGCTGCTGTAATGCCTAAATGGTATCTTGCAGCACCAGGTCCAGACACCTCTTAAACACCTCCAGAGATGGTGGCTCCACCACCTACCTGAGCAATATTCCAGTGCCTGAACACCTTAACATGGAAATTTTTTCCCTAGTATCTCCTCTGACTCTCCCCTGTCTCAGTTTATGGCCTCTAAGTCCTCTCACTGCAGGCATGGCAGGAGAGACCATCCTACATCTCTCTACATCCCCTACATCCTCTACCCCAAAACCACCAGCTCTGTGAAGGTCCTTCACCTCCAGCCCCTGTAAAGCCTCCAGGTCCCAGGGGCTCCCAAGCTCTGGGAACACAGCCAGGCAGGAAGGGATCAGGGCCCCACACAAACCTGTGACGTGGGCAGTCACCGGAGAGGACAACTCCTCCACTGTCTCAAAGAGCTTCTTGTAGCCTCCAGCAGGATGCTCCACTCTGGAAGGGCAGAGCTGGGTTAGTCCAGAGTGGGGTGGTTGCTCTGGATAGACTGATCCATGACTTGCAAAGAACTTGAGAGATCAGGAGGGAGAAGTACTAGAACTTCATGGGGGGAAAGGCTGAGCATGTGGAGGGAGAGGGAATACCAACGGGCCAATCCATGTCACAGCCCTGTGGGCAAACATCCTCCCCCACCAACAAGTCCAGGATAGTCCAAATCATCAGGAAGCAAAACCCAGCTTGCTTCTCCGAAGCTTGGGAGATATTTTTCTCCCTTTTTCCTTTTAAAGCAAATAATTATTTGCTGTGTTCCAATTTTACCTCCTGCAAAGCCCATGAAGACACACCAGGCACAGACTGGTGTGCTCTGCCCAGAGAAACTGTGGCTGCTCCATCCCTGGAAGTGTTCCAGGCCAGGTTAGATAGGGCTTGGAGCAACCTAGGTTAGTGGAAGGTGTCCCTGCCCATGACAGGGGATGTGACTGGATGAGCTTTAAGCCCCTGCCAACCCAAACCATTATAGAATTCTCTTTCTACTCCAAATTGTAGACCATCCTATGGGACCCAGAGGTGAGCCTGTCCTCCTGATCCAGAACCACACCTCAGCATGGGATGTTGCAGCACAGACGCCAACACACAGAGACCTTCCCCTCCTCTTCCTCCTTCAAACCATGCTGACCCCCAGCCTCACATCACCCCCACCAATGCTCCACCACCACATGCTCTCATGGAGAGGAGCTTTAGGAATACTCACTGGCTGTACATCGTCTCCCTGATGAAGGGCCTGAGCCTCTGGCAGCCAAACACAGAAGCAGAGCTGCGTGCTGGGTATTTATGGGGCACTGAGCCCTGCCCAGGGGAGCCCCAGGGCTGACACCGCTCCAGCAAGGAGCACACCCCGGGAACAGAGCAGGCTTTCACCTCCCAAATCCTCCCCAGGCTTTGGGAGCTTTTGTCTTGCTGTTCACACAAAAAAGGGCTTTGACTGTTTTTCTGAGACCTAAATTCTTCCCAAGCAGAAGTGATTACAAAGGGAAAAAGCCCCAGGGAGGAGTGAAACGGAGCTGGAGTGGCGCCGGGTGCTGGCACTGCCACTCAGCTCTGCAGGGACACCTTCCTGGCTCCTATAGGGATTGAGGGCTGCAGGGAACTGCTCTTCAGTGCCTCACCTAGGAGTGACGTGACATTAGAGACACTGAGGGTTAAGATGACAGTACCAAACAGCATAAAATCATGGAATATCCTGAGCTGGACGTGACATTAGAGACACTGAGGGTTAAGATGACAGTACCAAACCAAACAGCATCATGGAATATCCTGAGCTGGGAGGATCCACAGGGATCATGGAATCAAGTCTTAGCCCTGCACAGGACACCGCAACAATCCCACCCTGTGCCCGAGAGGGTTGTCCAAACACTCTTGGCAGGGCTGGGGCCATGACCAATGCCCTGGGGAGCTGTTTCAGTGCCCAAACACCCTCCGGGGGTAGAGCCTTTGCCTAATATCCAACCTAAACTTGACAGTTCCAGCTGTCACAGGGATCATGGAATCAAGTCTTAGCCCTGCACAGGACACCGCAACAATCCCACCCTGTGCCCGAGAGGGTTGTCCAAACACTCTTGGCAGGGCTGGGGCCATGACCAATGCCCTGGGGAGCTGTTTCAGTGCCCAAACACCCTCCGGGGGTAGAGCCTTTGCCTAATATCCAACCTAAACTTGACAGTTCCAGCTGTTCCCTCGGGTCCTGTCACTGGCACAGAGATCAGTGCTGCCCTTCGTGAGGAACCCACAGATCCTTGAGATATCCCCTCAGTCTCCTCCAGGCTTATCATCAAGAACCACCTCAAGGAAGAGTCAACATTTATGAAAACAGCCTTGCTGCAATGAGTAATTTCCAAGATAAAAGCGATTAGAGACATTCC